ATATAAATTGTGAATTCGCGTTGCTCGAGAAGTATTATTATTACAATAATATAGGACGTAAACGTACTTATCGTTTCAATAAGATATTTTAATCCACACCGGATCGAACTACGTAACTCCGTGTATTATTATTATATCTCAAACCATCCTCGTATTGCGGAAGCATTATACAGGTCATAATCTTATATAATATGTATACGAATACGACTACACCGAAGGGATGTTGCGTACAGTATACCATTAAACATTTAAAACCATTATTATTATTATTATTATTATTATTACTATTTTTTTTTCAAACCATAATATATACGAGAAATGTACCTACTGTTGACAACACTGTAATTTTAGATTTGAACGTCATCAAATCATCACACAAGTAATAAAGCGTAACGTCATAAATAACGTGAAAAAGCTTTTAAATAATATTACCATTTACCATACCATGTTGTCCTATTTACAACATTGATAAATCCATTTGGCCGACTTCCCGGATGAGTTTTAAATGAAACGTCTTCTTTTTTCGACCGAAATGCATATAAGGAATTTTTAAGACCAATAAATCCGCCTTCCTATTATTAACTGTACAGACAATTGCAGAGTTATTTGGCTCGTTCCCACTTGAATTCTATATTGTTTTACACACAGGCGTGACAAACACTGGAATCCCAAATAGGCTATTATAATATGACTGCGATTCTGGAGCGGATATTCTGATATGAATGGCTGTTTTTACATTATCTATACCTATTGTATGATTATACAACTTTTAATTCATATTTATTTAAATTTTAAGTTCCTATAAGCTATAATCATTTCGATACTAGTTTCCTATAATTTTAATCATTTGAATAAGAGTTATAATTATTATTCAGTCCCCAAGACAATATTAAAATACAATAGTTTAGTTTTCATTGTTAAAAAAAACTTGATAGTTTTAATTGCAACATATTTTAGTATAGGTACCTACATGTAATTAATATACTTGAGTTAAAGTTAACAGTATATAGGTATTAGATATACTATAAATAGGTTCTTAAAATCCTCGGAAAACGGTAATTTTATTAAAGATGTCACGGCTGTTGAACTATATAATTAAATCACTTATTTTATGTAAATCGTTTTTATTACATAATTATTTAAATTCGTAATTGTCTTGCAGCCAATGTTGACGAAACCAGCTATTGTGGAATGGATTTATATTTGAAAAAAGTATAATATACCTATTAATTATAATAATTTCGAGTGCATTGTTAGGAACGAGATTTTATTAAGACGTAAAATTCTTTTAGTGACCATATATCGGTGATAAAGTAACTTTTAGTGACCAGCCGAATTACTTTTTATTAATTTTGGCTAATGCATGAAAATATTGTCCGCACCCACTTGGTCCGGTTGGCAATCAGCCACGGGAATTCGGCCAAACAACAATGTCCCTACCTAAATCCCAATAGCATGTATGTCCTATGATAATTTTCGTTATTTTATAGAAGTTTAGTTGTTTAGGCATATTTTGGTCGCCTAACTTTTTCTGTTCATACGGCATTTAATTTCAAACTCATAATATACTTCCCACGTATAGTACTACTGTGGGTAGTGTTTGAACCATCTTTTTTATTACTATTACTACAAATTTTAATGTAATTTATTACAGAAATATTTTTTTTCCAAATTATAATCAAGCTTGTACAAAAATTCAAATTCAAATCCAAACGCAACACATATTGTTATACCAACTAACACAATCAAAATCGAATTCATAACGAAACAACACTGTAATAAATCCACACTGATTGACGATACATAATGTAAGAATAAGCATGATAAATAACTATAATAAGTGTACCTATGTCTGCTAATTTATTTTTAATTATGATTGTTTTAATTCATCCACATTGTTTATAATTAACGTATTATACAAATCGTACTTTTTTTAAATCTATTACAAGAATATTTTCGATATCAGTGTTGTGATTGTCATTTGTTTTTTCAGCCAGATTTATATGTTCTTAAAAATACTAATAATATAAGATGGTTATTTATAATTAAGCACTCTGTAATTTGTCATTTTTATTAGAATTAATGTTAATCACAATTTACCTCAAACCTTCATTCCACAATATATGCACCCGTAAAATTGAATTCAGTTACACGTATCACGCGTGTACGTTAATCACGCCGGCGCTTGTGGTTACCGTGTTTTAGTTGAATTAATGGGAGGCGGATGACCTATACTGTACGGCAATAATATAATTTTATATGGAGAACATGAGATCACGATTACATATTCCCTATTACCATGGAGTAATRAAGTCATTGTGGTATAATTTACAAAAAAAACAAAACAAAATCCAACGCGACGTGTTTAATTAGGAATTCACTGTTCAGTACCTTTTTTTACATAGATTAATACACCCCCGAGGTTGGCGAGATTAACATGATGTACATACGTAATAAATTATAATGGAAATGTTGTCTGAAAAATAATATTCAACCCATGCAAAAAATCCCATAAATGATCAAAATCATCATTAATTTAATTAAAATCACTATAATTAATGTTTTTATTGGTAAAGTTTAACTTAACTTTTTAGCTAACTTAAAAACAAAAAGAAGAAAAACATCGTTATTTTTATTTTATTTTGTTGATGTTTTTTTTTACTAAATTGTCTTTATTATCACATTTTTATAAACTAAACTCCATTCAAAAATTCAAAAGAAAGTAACTTCTCGTCGTAAAAAAAGAATCCGAATGAAAAGAAATAAAGATGAGATTTTATAGTTGGTTAAACTCTATTAGTGTGTAATCATTATTTCGGACAAATCAATATATAGAATTGTGATTCTGTAACATTCATTCTACTATTCCAGAATAGTTTTTAAAATTGAAAACTGAAAAGCTATCATTTATATATTACATTTATTTTTAATTTTAACTAAACTATAGGCCGTGTCTCGTGGAATAGCCGGGATTTTACTTTTTTTTTTTAGAGAGCAGATAATTTGTTATATAGAGGGAGGCTTAACTAGAATTCCTTTTAAATTTGGTATTCTGAGGCTGTATGTATAAAGTATATGACATTTTAGATTTGCAGCAATCTTCATACATGCAGTTAAAATTTTTATAGATAGTAACTTCTTACGTAATACATTCATAGAACACTAAAATCATTTTCAATAGGTTCTGAATTTCCTGTGAGGGGATAGGGGCTGCAACCCTCTCGACACCACTGGCTTTGCCAGTTTAATTATGTTAACTAGTATTAGTGAGTGATGAATAATAGAGCATTGYAATTTTTATATCATATATTATATATTGTAAAGCATAATAATGCCTATATTTTAAATTCTTTTATTATTCTAAACTTTAATATTATTTTAAGAAAGATTAYAATTATAATTTAAACACTGTAAAATTGTTATATTTTTTTCAATCGAAATGTTTCCACTATATATAGATCATATAGTATTATACTATCTATTGAAGTGTAAATGATCGTGCTAACTTCCATACRATAATAAATTCACATTATTTTTATCTGAAATATACCTATAAAGTATGCATATTCTGATTTCTAAATATATGTTTGTTGCAGTATAAAAATTGGAAAATAGTAGTATATTAGGCTTTATTAATGAATAGTAAATAACTAAATATACCTAACTATATTAAAACCACGAATCACAATTGCATATTTGGTTATATCGTATTAAAAATGACTTCATAAGTGAAATATATGARATAAAAAAACACATTTGGTGCTATAATTTTAATAAGATAATAAAACCTATAGGCATGATAAGAAAGTCTTATTAAGTGGGGCGATCATCAATTGATCGTACGTTTAATAATATAGTTAACTATAATATTAGACAAAAATAAATCAACAGTTGATCTAGAATTAAATCCTAATTTTAAAGSATACAGTTACAAAATGTTAATAAGGATTTCAGTATGATGCACGATATATTTTATACCTATATGATTACCGTATCCATACATCCACATTTAAAATGATCGGAGGAATTTTACCTGTACCTATGCACTTACGAATAAGTATTCGAACTATAATATTGCAATGAAGTAAGACAAGTTGACATTATAGGTTTGTCAGTCTGATCGCGGGACGAATCACTGCAACTCGAAACAGCATATACACACACACACACACACACACACACACACACATATATATATATAGAGAGAAACATTTGCAGGGGTGATGAAGTCAACGACTCTGCGTGCCATGAAATCCATCGTAAGCCATTATCGGGACATCGGGTGTTAGCAGGGTACTATATATTTAATTTTATGACTGCATTTTTAATTATATATTTATTAATTGTTTTTAGCAATTTTTATCCATGTAGATATGTAATTAAATAGATCGAGGTTATCAGCTAAATTATTTGTGTTTAGATTTCTAGATACTAAGCTGAGTGATTACGGCAATAAGGTAGTACGGCGGCAGTTAGATCGGTACATTTGACTGACATTTCGATCACAGAACCTTATGTAGTATATAAACATGTCTTATATATTATATACATTCCTCTATTATCAATGGGAAAGACATRCTGCAACCGCAGCGGTATGTATGTATTGTATAATATATAAGTACTGCATTATGCGAGAAATAATATAAAAATCACTAAATACCCATTGTAAATAATAACTATAATAATGTAGTAAAATGTATTTCAAAATTTAATGTACACATAGGTATATATATATACCCTTATTTTCTTGTATACATTTTGATTAAAGTAGGCTAAAAACCTGTGTTATTGAAGCCTTAGTAAACTTTAAAAAAAAAAAAAAAATGCATAAATCGTTTCGGCTCTTTCGTGAGTAGGTATATGGTCTCTCGTAAAGCTCGACTCGATAATATAAAGTGTGCATCAGGATATTATGATGAAAGTAGGTATCTATAGGTATATATATATATATATATAAGTGTATAAATCAGAGAAGCTATTGAATGAACGGCTGTGCTTACCTTGGTCAATCCGCGACGTCGGCGTGTCGTACAGGCCGACTGACCGGAACCGTTGTACGGCCACGCGGCATTCCCCGTTTGCAGCAGACTCCGCAGACGTCGGGTAGGCGCATCCGTCCCACCGACGGTGCACCGACAACACGATTACCGCCAACAAAAACCTCCGCATGTCGGGCTCGGAGGTGTGGGCGGCTCGACGAACGGACTCGAAGGTATAAACCTCTGCTATTTACTTATTTATAATATAATATTGTACCTATGTTATGGACGGCGGAGCGCGAAAACACGATCGGAAACTGTTGCAGACACTCTCGCGCGACTGCCCGCGACACGGCGAAGATAACGTACCTATGTATATAACTATTAGACTACAATATTAATGGTCRCACTTTTATGCTTTGCTGTTATACTGCGTTTTCGGAACTTAAATCGAGAATAAGTGTAAAAAGAAATTTATCGAATTCGAAAAAAATGACCGCACACCCATCCGACGGACGAAAAACTCGCGATATCAACAGTTGAAATTCTCTTGCATTTACACGTTTCAAATTAATATATTATTATTATGATATTATAAACGACGGCAAAAATACGAACACGACGACGACAACGGTAGCGGCGTSGATCGACGTCAACGCGCGTGCAACTCGACCGGGTGTGAACGGCACGACTGACTGAAGGATTCGCGGGCGATGCACGTCGTCGTCGGGGGCGCCGCCGCATCGCGACGGGTGGGCGGTCACGATCTGGAAAAGCAGGGGTGGTGGAGGGTTTTCTGCTGTGGTRGCGGCGAAGACGGCGGTCAGCTGTGCCGGACTGCGGCGGCGGGTCGACGGCCGCGCACTCCATCTGTCGGCCTACGGGACGGAGATTTGCCAATTTTTCTAACGTGCAATTTATTTTTATCGTATCCGCAACAATTTATAATAATATACTATATACCTAACTGTAGTACGCATTATTATGTTTTTATTACTTTATAATCATTACGCGTGAACTAATATTTATATTACACATATAGTACGCATAAAAAGGCGAATGGATCGTTTATTTCTTTTTTTGACTGGTTATATACAAATACTATGATATTGTCGTAACAAAATTATTTATMCAACGGCGAGACTTCAAGCTGAATAAATTATTTATTATTATTGTGTTTTAGATTCTGAGCGGAGCGATGAATGTATTGATTTTACCATGATGTGTGTTTTTTTTTTGTGTCTGTCATCACGTTTTGGGGCAGTAAAAATACTTCGATTTTTGACTTCAGTACCTCGTTTGATCAGAAAGTGAATCTAGTTGGTACATTGGGGGGTCAAAAGTAAAAATTTCTTAATACTTTTCTAAA